GCCTAATTTACTCCAGAATTACCACTAATCTATTATAATTTCTTGTACAGAGTAAGCACAAATCTCATTATTTTAGAATCAGCAGGACAATGGGTGTAGTCACAGTTAGTTCCAGGGGTTCAGAGAGAGAGAAGAGGTGGCTTCTGGCCTTCCATCAGTTCCTGGGCTTTCTATGCCAACAGATGAGTAGCGTTCTTTCCACCACTTAATTTTGGCAAACCCAGTTAAAGAACATTAGTTACATAAGCTCAACCTCTTATTAAAATAAATAGTATACAACACACAGTGTCAGTTATTTGGTTTCTTTGACATTTAATTAAAAAATAATTATATATTTAAGACAAAAGACAACTGCCCCAGACAGACACAGAATAGGTGCTATAGAAAAGCCTATCTTGGTGGTGTCTGGAAATTTTAAGGTATATATGAAGATTTTTAAGGTACTGGTGAAAGTTTTATTAAATTAAGCTTTGAGAAATTTTGTTTTTGTTAGTTTCAGAGATCAGGTAAGCCCTATTAGCCACTAGCATTTATTTTCATTGTTATTCACTGACAAAGAGCCTAATTATTCATTTTTCTTATTCACATTTAATACTCATTAACACAAAATATAAATCACAAGGAAGCCATTTCTACTCAGCATTTTCCCAATATATAGATCTTAATTTGCATTAAGTCCTTGAGGAAACATACACTGCAGTGAGTAAACTGTGCTTTCCTATAAAATAAATTTAGTCTAGTACATACGCACAGAACTTTGCAGTAAACTGACGAAGACAGTTTTATAAACCTTAGGTATATAATATTTGGTTTGTTTAGAGAAATAGCTATTTGAAGAAGAAAATCTTTGAACACATAGAAGTAGTTTAAGAATAAAAAGTTTATAAGTGCACTTACATATTTTGCTACCCTCACACTGAGCTAGAAATTTTGTGCATTATAGTTGATGGGGGGAAAATAATGAATGTTATTGGTATTGAATATAGTTCTCAAAGGTCAAAATCTTTCCCAAAATCAGTTATTTGAAGTCTGTACCTTTACAAAAAGGTAATATTTGAATATCTCTAAAAAGAGAAAAGAGCTGCCATTTTACAAACTAAGCACAGACAAAAAAGGGAAATCTAACAAAAATGTGAAAAACTGAGAGCTTAAAACACAGGCAGATATTGCATAACTCATTTAGGTGGCTTTGTAATGTCTTTTAAAATATAATCATAATTTCTTAATGTACAAAACAATAAGGCTCTCAAGCTATTCATGTACTAATTAGAGTTAGTACTCTGTTGAGAATATTAGGCCTATATCTATCTAATATGTTATATCAATCATCCGACTCATGTTGTTTTCCATACCAGGAACTATACAAATTACAAGCTTTTCCATGTGGTTGCTGCTGGATTTGGTACCCTTAAAAATAAGCTGTTCGACATCCAGAATACTCTGATATCTCTAGAATTTATAATTCAGTCTTTCCAAAAAAACATGGGAGGACCTGCATTTGTTAACTTACTATCCTGCATAGTAAACCTATATTTGCTTTTTTAAATCCATAGGTTTTGCTCCATGAGGTATCAGAAAGAAGCAACTTTATTATACTTTCTTTGGGTTATTACTAATGAGTTTAGCTTAAAAATCATTCATTTTAATACTAACATCCTTCTATATTATCATTGGAGTTGTTCTATTTATCTCAAAGGTAGACTTTATGTATTAGCATTACAAAAATAACTATTTGCATAATACTTTATGATTTTACATCTATTACAAACACATCACAGGGAGCCTGAGGAAGCATTCAGTAGCTTGTCATTCACCACTTCAAGACCCTTCAGAAGCAAATAAGGGGGAGGATGACATTTTGCTAGTGGCAGACCTACAGAAATGAATATAAACAATAAAGCTTCAAGTTTGAAAAATACAAAAGGAATTTAAAAATTATATAAAAATGATCTCTATTTTTAAACAGAAGTTTCATTTTGTAAAACGCCACATCCTTCATATGTAGCTAGGTGCTTGAAGATCTGTATGTCTTCTGTATGATGCCCACTTCAATTTTTAAAGCTAAAACTAAAATACTTTCTGATAGCGGGCTTTCCTGTGCTGAAATTGGTTTTGCTTATTTACAGAATTCAGCTTTTCCTCAGCCTTGTGAAATAATTTGAGCATCAATTCTTTCTTCCCTAGCCTTAACCCTATAAGTATGCTTATTAAGCATGTTTAAGAGGGAGATAATAATGATCTAACATGTTTAGAAATTATGTGGTTTCATAATTTCTTCTTGGTAAAACAATTGCAAACAAGATTTTTTAAAGCTTTTATGTCTTCTATAACTACCAGTTCAGATAAAAAAAAAACCTGAGTACTCAGTTATGTCACTTCTAGTCCAAATGCCCACAGCACTTGAAGCTTTCTGTAAACAATATGTCTCTACAGTACATACATATCCCTTGAGCCACCACCTAGTTCATTTAACATTTTAATATGCAGTTTCAAATGTAGCATAACACCATCTTTAACACACACGCTCGCTCTCACTTACTCACAGGAGAGTAAAGGGAAAAAAAGGAGGTGGAGAGCAAGAAATGGAGCACGTTGTTGTTTTTCATTCATGCAGTATAGTGATGTCAGTGTCTGCAGCAGTGGCAGTGGCGGCAGGAGCCTTGACCTGTGGAGGCTAAAATCCACTGAAGTCAGAACCTTGCAGAATTCAAAAGACTCTGAGTGGATAATCGTTTGAAAAATTGTTCAGCTGCTCATAGCATGGATTTTAAATGGCTAAGCAGAGAGAATAGATTAGTTAAAACTGCAATTTTAATGTGGGTAGAGAGATGGCGGGATGTGAAGAAGTAATATAAAGATAATATAATCAGGGAACTGGGACCAGAAAGAAGAGCCTGCATTCAAAATCACTTTAATATAAGAAACTGACAAAACCACCTGGTGTTAAAAACAACAGAAAAGCCTCTTCCATTCCACACACAAGCTCTCTGATGATGCAAATCAGGCTGTTGCACAACTAGACTCAGAAAAGTGTTTTCATCATGATTGCATTAAAATTTCATTAAACTCGGATGTGCCACACTACAACAAAGAGGATAGTTTAAGCTTGATCAGAAATTTCATTACAATTATTTGGTGATGGACCATGTAATTCCTAAGCAATTATGGCTTTTGAAGGATGCAGAAAAACAAGTTGTACTATGATCTGTTGTAAGATGTTAGTGTTTATCAGCCAAACAGGAGGAGGGACTAATGGCCATTATACTGTTGCAGCAATTGCCAAAAGTACTCTTACTTTGCCCCAAAACCCCTCTGAACACAAGCTGTCTGTAGTGCTTATTTTGCAGCTCTAAAAGAAAATTCCAAAACTCAATCTATGCACTGTCGAAGCTAAAACACTTAAAAATTTATGTAACTGGTGCCCTTTTTTCATTCTGTTACCTCTCATTTCATATAGCTCTAGGAAATGTGCAAGGGAGTTGCATATGGCATTAATCTGTTAGAAAATGGTGGCCTTTTCTATAAAATACAGCCAAAGATGTGTGTTCAGTTGTGGTCATTATTAGGGCAATCACGTTGTTTTCATTCATTCATTCAGGATTTGCTGGAGGATGTCAGTTTCTGCAGCAGCTGGCTTGACCTGGGGGAGGAGTGGGGGAGCAAATTCCTCCTGGTGCATACAGATTACAGGATGTATTTCTTGGTGCTCATGTACACATCCCACTGCACCGCATCCTACCCTGCCTCACCATCAAGTGGTCTGAAAACTAGTACCCTAGTAACATGTTAATTACAGGTCTGAAATTTCAAAACAAAAACTCCAAAAATGCAATCTATCCTAACAGACAAATCACTTTCTCCCAGTCTAAGACCTTCATCAGGAAAACTCTATTAAAAAAATTCCACATACCACATAAACATTGTACAGAGCTCCACAGTGTTTCCCTTCCCAGCAAAGATTTTTCCACTCAGTATGATCGGTTCTCTCTACAATGCAGCAGCAGCAGCAGCATCTGTAGCTCTAGGCTGGTATGTAATAATATTAGCTACTCCACTCTCCCTTATGAGCTTTAAGTAGCTGTTTTGGCTAATCTTCCTTTTCTCCCCCAGGACTCAACTAGATCATGCACTGTGTCCCTAGACATAAACAAAACAAAACCAAAACATAAAACATTAAAGAAAGCCCATGGCATCTATCAACTCACCATTACCTTTGATACCTAACAATAAAGAAACTTGAGATCCTTTAATAGCTCAACTGAACTGTTAAGTGTACTTAAAAATGGAAGGAAAAAGTGAACAAACCCCATAAACAGCTCTTTAGAAATTTACCATGACAATCTTGAATTAGGCATCCAGTGCAATGCTATTCTGATGCATGATTATATAAAGTAGAGAAAAGAGGGAGACCAGGGACAGAGAAAAAAGCCCAGCAGCCCTATCCATTCCAACTGCACAGCCAAAACTACTACCCTCTCCACATATCCAGCAGATATCCCTACATAAGCAATGTCATCACCTCCCAAAAAAGAGATAACGATCTATTGATCCAAAGAGAGATAGAGCTCTCTCCTAGTATTTACAGCCACGTTAGGAACTTTGTAGGAAAACACAAAGAGGTAGAAGCTATACAACCACCAACTCATCAGCTCCCGGAGAGTTTGTGTGCGTGTTTTTAAGTGTTTCGCCCAGCTCCTCCTTCCCCGCTACAACAGCAAACACTTGAGCGAGCTAATCAGCTCTTTAAATTGGAAAAACCTTTCGATGCAGGCGAGTGGTGATAGATAAAATCTGCGGGGCGGCGTGAGGGTCAAATAAAAGTTGCTTTGCAGTTCGCTTCTCCAAGCCCCGCAGCGACCGCAGGGGGGTGAGATTCCCAAAGCCACTTTCACACCTTCGAAAATGCACTAGCAAAGAGAAGCCCGGAGAGGCTGAAGTTTCCACGGAGGGCACCGTCGGGGAGACACAGCCCGGGAAGACAGAAGGGTTGGGCTCGCTACCTCTGCACACGGGCGAGCCGGGGCTCCGTCTCTCAGGTGAGTTGCTCCTCCGGTTGCTCTCGGGGGACCG